GTCAATGTTTTTATAGTTCTTGAAGGTAATACTTTAGCAATATAGCTGTACAGTAATATGAAATGATAACTTAACCACTCTCCTATTACATTTACCAGGTAGTCATAAGCTAATACAATTGTGTTGTCATTGAATTTCTAACTGTCACATCGTATTCATATGCCATACTTCAGTTACTTGGCAGGCATTGTATTTATTTCTTCATGGGAATTCACACCGTTAAACTGTCAGAACACAACACTAACACAAAGAGAGGATTCTTATTTTTCAGGGAGAGATAATTTTGCTTTATTCTGTACAAATTTATTGCCTTCAGTTGTTCGGGTGTGAATTATTAAAGTGTAATGATTTTAACTTCTTGAAATAAAACAAAATTTGTGGCACAGTTGGTGTAGGTACTGTAGATAGATAGGTTGAATGTATTGGTCTTTTTAATTTGTTTTCTTATTAATATTTTTTTTTCTCCAGGATTTGTGGGCTTTTTCAATACCATCATTCTGTGGCCCGGGTTCCCCCTGTTGGATGTTTTTGGATGGGAGACATTTTAGTTGCCAAATCTGCAACACCTGTTCTACATGTCTGTTAATGGCTTAGTAGGAACTGTCCTGTCTGAACTTCTTTGGCTTTGGTTAGTAATGCTTTATCAATTACACCATTTATAACAAAGTATTGATATTGTCAATCTCATTTATGAAATTTGATTAATATGTCCAGAATTTTTATGGTTGGGCACTGATGACCATGACCTCTTTGAAATGTTGATTCCGGCCATAATCTCCCATATGTTTAAACCATAGATTATGATTATTGAAAAACCATCATAAAAAAGGAAAATAAAAAACTATAGGTACAGTAGCTAAAAGAAGTATCTGTGCTTACTCTGTGTGAAACAATATGATACCTTAGGTTAGTTTATAATCATCTTGAGCCTGACTAGACAGTATGGCATCAAGTACTTTTTGAGAATGGACTCTGTGGTTTGAGGATGCTAGATTGTGTAAAGTGACAGGGAAAATGTAGAAGGATGTCTTTGAGCATTGTTGTGGAAGGGAACAATATCGCACAATGCATGTGTCTTAGCGGTTTAGAGGATGAGTGACAAAAACGAACAGTGTGTGTGTGTATATGTTCTTGATTGTAGCCACTGTATCATAGAAGAGAAAAAGGATGTACCAAATAGGTGCTTACCTTTATACTTTATTTCTTGAAATAAAGTCTGAATTTGTTTCTGAATTGAAGTGTTTCAGAGAATATCATACATTCCTCTCTTAGCTGATAATGCAAGAAAAAATTTTTGCAGTAAAGATTCTTTTTTTTTGGAATTGTCTTCTTAGTTAACACCTTCTATACAGTTGTACCCCACTTAACGCGGTCAATTGAACCCAGAGGGTCCCGCGTTAAGTGAAATCCGCGTTAAGTGAACAACAGAACATATGGGATTAATTCCAATAGAACCCAGCCCGACCCCCAAACTCCACTTTTTGACGACACATAACTATGTTGTAGTAAAAATTCTATCTTAACTTTATGATGGTATGAAAAAACAAGTAATATAGAAGAGGTTAGGTTAGGAAAGATAAAGGTTAACATAGGAAAAATGAAGGTTACCTAAGAGAAACTAAAAGTTAGGTGGAACACTTACCGTAGTAGAAGAGATGGGTCGGCATACGGGGATGGAGGCTGGTTCCGAGGCAGAGGGCAGATTACTGGCCCTCAGGTGAATCACCATTACTAGGTGAATCAACATCACTGTCACTTACAGTTGTCAGGGCTTCCCTGACAAATCCCTCAAAGTCAACTTCACTTTCACTATCACTGGCTTGGGCTGGCTGTGGTGGGTTGCGGGCGAAAAACTCGGTTATGCTTTGCTGACGGCTGGTGTTGATGTTGTCGTGATACACCTTGATGTACGGCTCCATAGCCTGCACCAGTCGGGTATGGAAGACTTCATAGCGTTCATCGTCATTGTCGCGGGAAAGGACGGACTTAATTTTTTCTGCAAACTCTATGGCACACTTAATATCACTATGACTTAAACTAGGTTCTTCGGAGAATGACGCACCTTCCTCCTCCTCTTCACTGGCGTGTTCTTTTTCCAACATCTCGTCGGCAGTCACTTCAGGATCTTTGATCACCTCCAGGATGTCTTCGTTGGTGGTCTCGGAGAAGCCTTCAGCTGTAATATTGAGCGCAGCTTCTCTGGCAAGGTCCACTGCTACTGCAACAGTCTGAACCTGACCAGTCACAGGTTCACTCCTCCTCTCACCTGGTATGCCATGCAACACATGTCTCCATGCGTGACGAATCGTAGCAATAGTCAGCAGATCCCATGCCTCCACCAAGAAGTCTACAGCTTGTTTAACGTTAAACTTCTTCCAAAATTGTTTGACGAGAAGTTCTTGAGTCACCGCCTCTTGTTCCTTGTCCTCGTCGCTTTTGCTCTCGCTGTCGGTGTCACCCAGCTTACGCAACTCATCCTTGGTGTTGGTAGAGTCGTTCAGGAGCTTGAACTTCTTTGCAGAGTACGCAGCTTTCACATTGCAGATCAACTCCTGGTCCATGGGCTGGATTAATGACGTAGTGTTGGGAGGAAGGAAGACCACTTTTACGTTGGGGTGACGATCCATAAGTAGGGGCGAGTGTCCAGGTGCGTTGTCAAGGAGCAACAAAATGTTGAATGGAACATTCTGTTGCTCGCAGAATTTCTTCACGTCGGGAACAAAACAGTTGTCAAACCAGAAGAGGGACAGAGAAGAGGACATCCACGCCTTACGTGCGGTTAGCCAGTGGACATTAAGCTTGTTCATGTCCATATTCTTGTAGGCGTGCGGCTTGCGGGCTGTGTGAATCACCGATAACTTTGGTTTACAGGTACCGGAGGCATTGGTGGTAAACAGGACGGTGATGCGTTCCTTCTGCAACTTCCGACCCCTTACCTTGCTGGCAGACTGGACAACGAAGGTCTTGGAAGGTAACTTTTTCCAGAAAAGACCAGATTCGTCCATGTTAAACACCTGGTCGTCACTGTACTGTCCTTCCTCCATAATCTCACGTAAAAACGGAGGAAAATCTCTAGCCGCCACACGGTCAGCACTCGCTTCCTCACCACCAATGTTGATGTTGGTGATCTTGTTCCTCTTCTTAAACCTATGCAGCCAACCAGAGGAAGCATTGAAGGGTTTGGGCTCTGCAATTCCCAGTTTACATGTCACTGCTGCGTATAGCTCACGTGCGTACTCCTGCACTGAGCGCGTGTCCACCGCCATGTTGCGTCGCGCCTGACGCACCAAATAACTCACCAGCAAATTTTCCACTTTTGCCAGCACCCTGTTCTGGCAATACCTGATAGATGAAGCACCTGCAGACTTTGTGATTTTCATGTGCTCTTTGATCTTGGCTGCATCCTTCTTGATCGTACGAATCGTAGATTCGTTGACGCCATGCTGGCGCGCGAGATCAACTTGCCGTCTTCCTTTCTCCAAATCTTGAACAATTTGGTACTTCACCTCGTAGCTTAATGAACGTCGTGTCTTCTTTGGCTTAGTGCCGCTGGGTCCAGGTAAGGAAAGGTCTCTCTCTGGGGGGTGGTGGTCCGGCGGAAGCCATTTTACGGAACAATGGATGCGCGTTAACACGGTGTGGCCTTGAGGGATCAAACTGCCGCAGCTAGGTCAAGCATCGTCTCTCCTCCCTCCCTCCCCGGGGTGGTCACGTCATAATACTTTAAGCCAATTACAGCTAGCAGCAGAGGGGGGTAGGGATGCATGGCCAATCACAGTCCGATACGTCATATGACGTCAGTGATAACGCAACAAAGACACACACTGCGCAACCTTACCGCGCGGCTTGCCCAAGCGGAGGGAGGAGGAGGGAGAGGCGAGGAGCACAGGCAGGCAGGCAGGCGGGTGGCGCGTGGGCAAAATCTAAAAATAGCATCTCGAGCCGGACACTCACCGCGTATATGTGGAAAAAATCTGTGTTAAGTGAAAGTTCAGCTCTGGCAAGGCACCGCGTATATGCGAAAACGCGCTAAGTGAAACCGCGTTAGGCGGGGTAATACTGTAATTGTTTGACCTACATTGGAATTACTTGGGAATTGAAGGTGTTTTATTTTGCAGGGGATGCTTCCTTACTTCATCATTGATGGCTACTTTATCTTTGAGCTTAACTATTCCCTTGACAATGTTTGTGGACATCTGGCTCAAGGGCATCAAGTATTCACTGCTAATTTATATTGGTGCAATTCCCATGATGACATCTTTTATTGCTGTCTCACTTCTCACACATTATGAAAGCTGGGACCCATTGATGGATGGAATGAAATATCTTCATAGAAAGTGTTGGAGAAGAAACCACATGTACAGGTAAATTTAACTTTATATAATTTTCTTTGTAGTTGAAGCTGATGGTATACAATATTAAAGAAATATAAATTTTGAATTACAGTATAGATAATAGATGTACACTTAAGTTATATTTTTTCTCCAGATCTTGTAGAAAATATGATAAGTTTTTGTCTCGTAAATGTTATATTGCTTTTAATTTCTGCATATTGGCATCCATCCAAGTGTTTGCCTTGGATGAATCTGTATACTGTACAGGGGCCCCTGAATAATGAACGGGTTACATTTCAGGACCTGTTCATAAGTTGATTTATTCATAACTCAGAACCTTGTTAATAACGCAAAATAAAATATGAATAAAACACCCATCCTTATCTGTCAAATCATAAAATTTATAATGCCATAAGTAACAAATAATGTATGGAGGTGTGCTGCTGAACAAAGTAGTTTTACCTTGGGAAGTACAGTACCAGTGATTTTATTATGAGTAGTATTAGGATCACAATAATTCCATGCTTGTTGTTTGACATCATAAGATGGGTGTACAGTAGGGAGATGGTGATGGTTAGTTGTTGATCGGTGGTAAAGAGAATACGACATGCACGATTCTCAATAAATCATTTCTTACCATATTTTATGTTATGTACAGTACAGTACTCTTGTGAATGCAGTACTCTACTGCTGTGACGCCATCGTGGATGAAAATAGGCATACGTACTATAGTTAAAAAAGTCAATCTTTGCGATGTTCAGACCCTAGCCCTCTTTCCCATAAGAAGTTCAGTAAAGAATGATTCACAACTAATTGAGGTTTCAGGAACCTAATATCATTCTTTATCGAGGGTCCAGTAATGTATATTGACACCAGTGTAATTCATAAGTTGCTTGGCTATCTAAATACGTATCGTCAATTTATTGTCAAACGACATTTCTAATAGTATTACTCGTAACAGAATATGTACCATTGTTGCCACATGGTACAGTATCTGAATTTTAAATAGTTTTATAGTGGTTTGATAACAAAGGTTTAAAGTACATTATATAAAGGATCAACAAACCATCCTTCTCCCTTATCTCAGTATGTTTATCGCTTCTCTGTGCTTGTTTGAGAAGAAAAGAAATCATTACAATACTCTAATGTGGCTTAGAAATAAAGAAATTATAAAACTAAAAAAAAAAAAATTAAGAGCATGTGTGTGTATGTGTGGGAAGTGAACATATGTATTAAGGCATTGGGTCAGCTGGGTGACTGCCCGGCTGTACTGTGTCACGTGCATACTGTACCAGGAATACCCCAGTTATCGCAAGGGAGGCACTCCTAAAAGTCATTGAAAATAACGAAATTGTGAATATTGGGGCAATTTTCCCCCATAAGAATTAATTTGAATAAGGGGAGATGCTTTCTCAGCCAGCAACTTTCACCACATATATTTCAATAGATACTCCTCATTATCCAAGGCAATTACGGACCTTAGGCACCAGGGTTGCATCACTTGTGCATATACTGTAGTACCAGTAAATGTTAGGAATAAATAAAAATTATACTACTTACCTGCATGGGCCTACATCTAGCAGGAACTTTCTGTCCAGGTTTCATGAGTATAATATCCCCACGCACCAGGAGAGACCAAGGGAGGTTGACTGTGTTACCATCGCGACGAGTCCACTGGAGGGTGATGCAGGGGGAGTGGAGGTGAGGATAGTTCTCGGCAGACCACAACACATTGCCGTGGTATTCTGAAAAAAAAAAATGGCACGCATGACACCAACGGAAACAAGCAAGAGTAAGTGACAAAGAAACCTCAAATACTGTAGTTAGGAGAGAACAGTGGTGGGTAGTGGTGTAATGATAAGTGTAGAAAGTTGCAGGAGAGTAGTGTCAAGGTCCTAGTATGAAACAACACACACACTGACGGTACTTTTGTGGGTAACTAAATAAAGAACAGTTTTAAAATTCACAGACAATGTTCGGATATTAATAAAAAACGTTACCGTAAGTCACAATGCTTTACCTTTAAGATCCTTTAAGACGTTGTGTGTGAGTCTTGGGACCTCTTTGTGCCTCAGCTGAGTGTCCCACCACACCAAGTACACGTTAAGAATTACTGCTAAGAAAATGAAGAAGGACTCGGCAGGAAGATGCTGGTACCTGATAATAATAATAAACATATTACATCATCTGTAAATCTAAACAGAACAAAATTCATCTTAAATTCTCTAATGGAAAAATTATTAAGGACATCAGAGTAGTTATCCTATCTGTCAACAAATGGTTGCTTTACTGCTACTGTATGTTTGCTTGTATTTACACTCATACCAAATCATAAGGTCATATATTTTTACCTATGTATGGAGAATATTACACCAGTCCACATTCTCAGGTCAATATATAGCACAGAAAGAATCAAAGGTAACTTCATATGCCTGTTGTATTTTATGGACCCATACTGTACACACCTGGGGTCATTACATGCAGCGAAGGCCACCAGCAGCACGATGCCTTCAACGATCAACGCTATCACTGATGTCCAATGAAACACAGAGAGACTACTCTTGTGGTGGAAGGCTTCATACAGAACACTCTTTGGTCCAAAACCTTTGTTCCTGAAATATAAAACATAATACAGTATCACCAAACATATGAGGTGTTTACAATAGCAAGGGCACATCACTGGGTTGCTCAATTTCCCATTTTCTGTGTCAGTCCATAGCATCATTGTCAGGCAATGTGGATACACCTCCAGCGTGGTACAATCCCATAAGAAACCAAGGGCAGAAAACATGCAGTACAGCCCGAATAATTGAACCGAGTTGAGATATTCGCACATACGCCCTGGTTAGTCTATACGCCTCATTTACAAGAAAGTACAGACTCCAATATGCCCCACAGGTTAATACTGTATTTCAAAATTAATTAATAATCTTTTCTACACTTACTTTTCAGCTTCTGTCTTCTGATATTCATCCAAAGCGATGGAGATGTCCTCATGCAAGAGACTGAGGGCCTCACTTGTGGGTAAGCCATCAGCACTGCAGGCCATTTCCTTCAAAACAAAAGGAAATATTCTACAACAACAACAACATTAAGCAACAAGTTTATAATCATTTTACCAAACCTGACATATAACACACAGGAATGAATGTTACTATCTGCCAGTATAACATCTCCCACCTCCTTTCTTTGTATTTCACTTGAATCAGTTCGTACACAACACAGACGATATATATAACAGTAGAAGAGCTGACGGAACGCTAAGTCATGAGGCCATCACCAGACTGTAATTCTTCTGCCAGATGTCTGTGAGGGATATTTTGCTGATTTTTTTTTAATACGGTACGACAGATGATATATCCAGGGTGAATAGACCACAGGTTCAAACTGACTGCCTTGGTGTATTAATCAATCAAGCCATGTGCGCTGATTAAGCAGATTGAGTATTGCTTTTGAAGACATATTCTGGACTTAGCTTCCTTGTCACACTGCCATCACCAAGTAACTGAACATTGCAGCGAGGATGACAATGAACAGAATGATCTATGCAAAAAAATATATATATATCCACTAAAACTGCTTAAGAAATAGTCCTTTATTCTTGTACAGTATCCAACATTTCAAGTGTTACTCGACTGTATTAGTAATTCAGACTTTTTCGACATTTAATCGGTCATCTGAAGCTACCCAGAGTAACATTCAATTATAAATATAACTAAAAATAACAAAGTAAACACAAGCAACAAATAAATAAATTACACAGCTAAAAATTAATTTGGGTAAAAAAAATTCAAATAAAAATGACATTCAAGCGACTGATTATAGAGATAAATTATAAAAGAAAATAATATAAATAATCCACTAACACTATATTTTCATTGTTAAGAACCTAACCTAACCAAAAATGACCACAAGATTATTAGGTTAGATTTGGTTTTATTTGGGTTTGGTTAAAATATATTAAAATTGGTTAGGTTGGTTAGAATTACCTTTGGCTAGGTTAGTTTGGGTAATTTTAATATTTTAGGGGACAGGACAGGTGAAATAAGGCTAAACTATATCAAGAACTGGTCAAATAAGGTCAAATTATAAAAAAAACAGGTGAAATAAGGTCAAACTATATAAAACAGGTTAAATAAGGTCAAAATATGTCAAAAATAGGTCAAATAAGGTCAAACTATATAAAACAGGTCAAATAAGGTCAAAATATGTCAAAAATAGGTCAAATAAAATCAAACTATATCAAGAACAGGTCAAATAACACAAACCCAGAAAGAACTTGACCTTAATATACACGTAAACAACATAACACTAACCCATTATACATAACTCATCTCCCTCGCTAAATAACACCCCCAAAACACACTCTTTCACATCATATACTTATTTAATCCCTCAATATACAAATAAATAATTATGTATTCACTCAAAAAGGTCAATTATTATACAAGCACAACAAGTCACCATTCGTATCTCATCTACAACTACGTAACTTTATTCTAGTTTTAAAATTAATTCAGGTTTAATTAGTGGTTTTAATATACGTTTTAGGACCTTACCTGATTGTTTATCACATGGTAAGGGGAGAGAAAAAACTTGAATGGGAAATTTGGTCTGAGTTGTGAGGAGTGATCAGCTGTCCTCCTAAACACCACAAACAACCTAAAGAAACTAATTTAATGGTGATAACTTTTTTTTTCATTATTCATGTATCTAACGCACAGTTCTCTTATTTAAATATATAATTTTATATATATTTAATGGTTTTATTAAACTATTGAAGATATATAAAGGTTGAAATTGTATTTAATAGTTACGTAAACTACAGTATGTTGGTGATTTAAATTCTTTTTCGTATTTCAGAAAAGATAAATAATACTGCTAGATATATAAACCGGTCTAATAAAATATATATAATTGAGATAAATATTCTTTATGTAACATTAAGATCTTAGGGTAATTTCAGTTTGGCATAATTGGCTTTATTTATGTCTCTCTGTACAGTAATGAATGAGGGACATTTATTCTCGCTAGAAGTGAAAGTAAGAACACCGTGTTCCCTTTCTCCCTTATTTTCTATTATCAAAAAAAATATTATGGAACTATAATATTTTATGTTAATATTCGTCCATTGGCTGTCCGCAAGATTTCAATTTTCAATATTACAGCTACAAAAAAAAATAAAACATACGACTTCATATCATTTCTTGTGCAAATCAATATTAACGGAACATTTCACAAAATTTCTAGGAGTAAATTTCTGTACCCGCCATGTTGCCAGTCACTTGTCTCCTCCTCTTCGCGACATGAAATGACATGACCTTCAGGTATCATAGCATTTGAATTGGCTGGCCAATCATATTGAAGCAGCAGAGTTGTCACATGTATGATAATTATCATACATGTATGATAACCACAAGGAAAGAAGAAAACACGAAGTTCCCAAGCGCTTTCGTGTAATTCACATCTTCAATTACACGAAAGCGCTTGGGAACTTCGTGTTTTCTTCTTTCCTTGTGGTTATCAGCATATAACTAGATCACGCGCACCTACAGTGATTTACTTGCATGTATGAGAGCTGTGCAACGAGCTTGCAGAGCCCCTGAAGCTCCTGTTTTGTAAATGCCTGGATGAACAAATGGTCCCCAGTGAATGGAAAGTGGCTTATGTGAGTCCTATCTTCAAGAAGGGCGATAGTCACTCCACGAACAACTATAGACCGGTGAGCCTGACCAGCATAATATGTAAAGTACTTGAGAGTATTATCAGAGATGCAGCGATGGAACATCTACTACGAAACAACCTTGTAAAAGATTGCCAACACGGTTTTATGCCGGGGCGCTCTTGCTTAACACAATTGCTCAAGGTATTGGATATTTGGACCCATATTCTGGAACGGGGTGGTAATATCGACAATATTTACCTAGATTTTGCCAAGGCTTTCGACAGTGTACCCCACGAAAGGCTGAAAATCAAACTGGAAGGGTACGGAATTCGGGGAAATGTCCTAGCGTGGATAGAAGACTTTCTACATGACCGCAAGCAGTGTGTGGTGATTAATGGCACGAAATCGTCATCTGCACCTGTAACAAGTGGGGTACCACAGGGCAGTGTATTGGGCCCGCTGTTTGTTTGTTTCATAAATGACATGCCTGACGTTGTACACTCCTCCATACAAATGTTTGCCGAT